ATTATAGAGACTAGAAATAATTCATTCAGAAACTCATCAGTTTTATACATTGGTAACAGTCTCATTGCACATGAGAAGGAGCCAGACAAGCCTGCCTCTCTCTCTCTCTCTCTCTCTCTCTCTCTCTCTCTCTCTCTCTCTCTCTCTCTCTCTCTCTCTCTAACATTTTTATGCTGCACCCATCACCGAAGCCTCGGGGCGGCTTACAAATAAAATAAATAAACAAAGAATAGAATAACATTAAAAATTTGGAGTTTCTCGGCCATAATTTAAAACCACAAATAAAACAACCGATTAACAATTAAAATATTGTTTAAATAAAAAGGTCTTGGCCTGGCACTGAAAAACAAATAACGACGGCGCCAGGCGGACCTCTCTGGGGAGCGCATTCCATAGGTGGGGCACCACCGCAGAGAAAGCCCTCCTCTGGGTACTTACCCTCCTAATATCCTTCACGGAGGGCTCCCAGAGAAGGGCCTTCCTCGCTGGTCGCAGGGGGCGGGAGGGCATATATGGACGCAATGCTTTAGGGATGCTTTGGACTAGCAATTCACCCACGTGCATTCTGATGGTGCCACAGTCCCACATAAGCACTCGGTGTGTTTGACAACCACTGAGCATCATATCTGCACAATGTTCATGCTCCTTTAAAAGGTAAATACTGCTTAGTGAATGGAACCAAATGTGTGGAAAGGAACAAACATAAGTGAGGATATGATGCTACCGTATCCTACTTGCATTCCTGTGCAAGAGAAGCGCTCTCCAACCAGACAAAAATCCTACCTTGTATAAAATGCACTAAGTTCTTAACGTTTGCATAGAACTACCACCTGGTCATAGCTTTAAGCCTCAGAAGAGGAAAAAACCCTACAATTAAGCAGCAAGCTAAGAACAATTAAGGGCATCACAGAAGTTCTGCACTCAGCTCCGTATAGGACATACACAAGTTAATAAATATGAGACGAGTGAGTCGCAAATAGTACCTACTTCTGCAAACAAATAGTAAAGTGAACATTGCACTTAGTTGTTTAGTGTGATACCAGTTTGCTGACAACACTTTAATCCCAATACCATTTTTAAAAAAGAGGATATGCATTCACATAAAGTTTTCTACTGAGCATATCATTCCTATTTCTCTTCCTTTCCCCATTGCCATGTGTTCACAAGGGTCCTTGCAGGCAGTTCGGCCCTTCTGCTCTGCACAATCTCAGTCTTCAAGATTTAGGGATGTATCCATACCAATAGCTGAAGGAGAAGTACAGGTTAGTGTCAAGACCTAAGGGAAGCCAATACTTCACAGTCACCATGTCGATGCTTGGGAATCAGGGACCCCTTGCTCAGTACTTCTAAAGGTTTCTGTTAACAATGAGCCTGTTTAGGGCACAGTTTATATCCAAGCAAGTGTGCCCTTCTAATTCCCCTATTAGCCAAAGAGCGATGAAGCAATTTTCTCATGCTCCTTTAGGGACATGTGAATCATCAAACCTTGAATTCAAAGTTCTTCAGAGCCACTAGAAGGTTGTCTAGGCTTAAGTCCTTAGCAGATTGCAAGGGGTTTTTTTCTTTCCATATGAAACTCCATGTATAGTTTCATTATTTTTTTCAAACATACACAGCAACATGACACATTTTGTAAAATGCACACTCTTCTCCCATTGATTAAAACCTATTTTGAGAAATGTATACAAAGCATGCAGTTTTCATGCATATTTTTCAAATGTTTTGGTCCATGAATGATATGACACAGAAATGTATGTACTTCAGTCGCAAATTGCTCCTGAGTTTGTGTTCAATCTAATTGGTGCAAACAGGATACATCCTGATGAAAACAAAAACTAATTTCACATACATCCCTGTCTTCCTCTCAGTCTCAAAAAATTTTGGCTGCCATGATGAAGGCCCTTCCTTTTCTCTTGCTCCCATCCCATTTTTAAACCCATTCCACACCCAATAAACTTGTGAGGAAATTCTTAGTTGTAAAAATGTCTGAACTGCAAAAGATTAAGACAAAGACTCCATATTTTGATTGCCATTTTCTGAAACATACAAAAATAAGACCAAAATGCTTAAATAACCCTGATAAAGCTCTGCATACCTTAAACGTATATACTAAAAAAAAGTACACAGCCAGAAACCATTCCATTATTGGTTACTGCATTCCAAAAGACTTAATTATACCCATACTACACATATTTCTAAAAAGACCTCTCGCTTTATGCAAGACATATCTACAGGGCAGATTTCAAAGAGACTACAAGAAAACGCCACTGGGTGTCACCTATAGTTTCAACAAGAAACAATAAAAACATATCATCAGTGAACCACAATCCATCCTAGACAAAAACACTTCCTTCTTGCGGGCTTTGAGTGATAGATGCCATTCAATTCCTGGCTAACAAACAGTTGTCCAGCCTAAACAGTTATTTTACCATCAGTAACAAAGCTAAGAATAGACACACGGACACAATAATCAAGCTCTGTGGCAGACCCAGGTGCCAAATCTTGCCCCACTCTGACAACATTTCTACAGGACCCAATAATGCATCAAGAGTTCATGCACTTGCTCATATTCCAGCAAGACAGATGACATTATTTGCCAGCATGTCCTACTGATTTTCCAATAGGACAAACAGGCCAGTCTCTGTGCAAAAGAATAGACAGATACAAGTGTGACATCAGGAATAACAATATGTATAAACCACTACAGGTGCATGATAGTCTCCCCGATCCAGTTTGCATGATTGCTGGGTTGTGGTGCATGTGAACATCACTGTGAATGCTGAAGCTGCAGCTTGCAAACCTGGGCTAGGGGGGATGTTGCCATGGGTTAAAAGCCTGTCGAAACTCATTTGCTGCAGTAGGGCTCTGGGGTGGCTTGTTAACCAGGGAAGTAAGCTACCCGACCTGGGTTTGCACATCATAATAGACCACAGCAACCCCCTGCTGCATCTGGAATATTCACAATGCTAGTCCTCGTGCACTGCAACTCACAGGGACACTGGTGTCATGAAAATGAACACTCTGTCCATGACTTGGAGATGGAATTTCTTGAAGAAGGAAGATTCAGTGACAGATACCAATGCTAAATTGCTGAAAATACAGTCCAGGAAAACCTATAGTTTGAACAAGGACAACGTGTTTTTATTGCATTACATGATAATTCTGCCCACCATTGTAATTATATTTCTGTTATCACCCAATTATTGCTGTCTCTACTTTTTGCCTTTCAGTTCTCTGTCCATGGCATTTGCATTCTCCTTCCCTACCACATGTACATAAACCTGCCACTTTGAGGTGAACACTTCATGCTTGTACAGTGTCCATGAAAGCTCATGCCAGAATAAATTTGCTAGTCTTCAAGATGCCAGAAAACATTCTTGTTCTATCTGTACATGGCAGCTAAGGCAGTTCTTGCCAGAAAGTGGTAAGCTACATCCCTCTTTTCTGATATTCACTGGACAAATACTATTTATGAAGAAATGAACACTCAATATTACTGCTGACAAAGAAAGCCAGGGACTGGCTTCAGTTTATATTAATAAGCAACTCCAAATATTGTTAAACCTTCTAAGTGCCATTCATTTGCCTTTATTAGTTGCTTGAATATCCTTTTTAACTTTAAGTAATTTCATATTGCTGGTCTAAGTGCCTCTCCTGCTCTTCCTGTTTCTTTAACTCCTTAACACAGCCTCCATCCTCAGCTGACCAACATATCAAGAAGATCCTGGCTAAGGCATGGTACGACGGGCACGCTCTTGATTGCTCTGGCACCATGGTTAGCAGAAGGGGGACATTCTGCTAAGTTGTCTCCTCAAACTGTTTGAAGTGCCTTTTGCAAAAACGACCATGTACAAGAAGTCAAAAGTGTGTGAGCATGCATGTGTGAGGGGGAAATACCACAGTCACATGGAAAGGAACATGGTTTGTCCAGAATATGTGGCTCTGCAAGTTAAATTTTGCTAGAGGAAGTACCACATCACTTCAGTAACACTGCTAAACACCTATCAATATATTGTAAATTGAAATATATAATGCGGGTTATTTTTACAAATGGAACAACAAGCAAGTTTCTTCACACACACACACCAGGAAAACCAACCATCAATGCTTTTCTTCAGAAGTGTACACTTGACTGCCCTACATCTTTTACAGACCTCAACAAATCATTTGGGAGAAAATATGCACATCAAAAGTAGCTATTTTCATGGAGTTCCTACTGTGCCCTAAATACATACTTAGCATATAAAATTTGCAGACAAAATCAATGCAGAAATCACAACTTAGACCAAGGACATTTCTGGGATACCTTTTATATGGGTGTATTTAACAATGGACAAATCTTTAGTCTAAAAAAAACACAGAGGTTCTGAAGTCAAATGTTAACTTCACATCAGCCACTTTGATCACGTAAAACCAGAAAAGGGTGTCTGCTTAATCCTACTTAGAATCAATAGAGCTTAAGTTAGTCATCCCAAATTAACTCATATTGATTTAGATGAGTATACTCTAAGTAGGCTAAATCAGACAACAGGATAACATACAAGGGGTTGTGTATGGTTGAGCATGGGTTTTGTGATGTCAGAACCCAGTAGCAATAACCAACCATGGTTTGTTAACCATGAGCAACCCATGAAGAAAACTGCATGATTTGTTGTTTGGTTGTAAACGGTGAGCTGTTTGTGGCAAACAAACCATGGTTGGCTATCACAGTTGGGTTCAGACATCACAACAACACACATAGTGACAACCCACACTCAACTCCTTAATGTAGATTATCATTTGTCTGAATCCAGAAAAAAGATTGAACTTGAACATTTACATTAAAAAATAAAAACTGTAATAGTTTTCTCAAAGATAAGCTGTAAGAAACCATATTTAATATATGCATTCATTTCAGAAAATACAACAGATGTGCAAAATAACAAGGAATACACAGAAGTTTGTCATCAGAATAAAGAAGCATACCTTTTTTTCTTTTAAAAGGGTTAGAGAGCACATACCTCATCTGAACCACAGGAAAGCTGGATGCATATTGTAATCCATAAATGTTCATAAATGTGTACATTATAAATCCAAATACTGATCTCTTCTTGATTTGCACTGTACTCCACTCCATTATTTGAAGGTTCATAAAATATGGCATCCGTCTGGTTGTGCTTCACATGGATTCAGAAGTAGTGTTTTGGCAAACATTCTGTTTCATTGACACTTTTTTTACCTATTCAATAGAAATGAAAGGCTGTAAGCTCTGGTAGCATTACATGTCAACAGTTGTGTTGTAAATTAATTCTAAAACTGTCATCCTAAGCATACTTCCTTGGAACTAAGTCCCACTGATTTTTCAACTAAATGCTTAGAACTCAGCTGCAAATATACCGCCAGTGTTATTTGCTACTCAAAAGGCAAATCCTTTGCAGTGCCATCTTAGGCACATCTACTCAGAGGTATATCGGACTGACTTTAACAGGGCTCACTACCACCTAAGTATGTGTATGATTGCAGTCTAAGAAGTGTTTACTATAGCACAATTCTATGAAAGTCTACTTAAAAATTAGCACAGAGAGTTTGATGATATTGAGGTTAAGTGTAAGCATGATTACAGGTTACCACATTTTATCTCAACTGTTGATTTTATCTTTAGTAAACTTAATTGATTCTGTGAGAATTTAGGAAGCAAGCTTTCCTAAAGAGTTGTTCACTTGTTGAGCTTTGGAACCTTATCCTTATCTCTAGAGCCTTATCATTTCCTGATAAAACCTAATAGCAGTGGAACACTTTCTCCAGCCAACTTGATTCTGGTATAAAGCACAAGCTTCATTTCTTGCATTATTCATAATAAATTATGAAAACCAGAGGGCCACCATTGCTCAAGCAGCTGAAACTGTTGGATACTAAAATATTGGGTGTGTCTACAAATCTAAGGAGTTACAAACTACATATTAGAGAGGATATCACTTACATGAAATAGGAAGCTCATCCAATATACTGACACAGAGTAGAGTGAAAGATGGCTAGCACCACTCAGAAATCATCAAGAGAAAACTATGACAAGAATTTATTCCAAAGTCTAAGCTTCCCTGACTTGACAATTTTCACCTTTATTTTATAGCTTGTTCCTATAGATTTATGGAGAAATTACACTTTGCTCTATGCAACAAAGGCCAAACAACTACTTCTCAGCTGCAAAGCTTTCTTGCCATGGGGCAACTAAGTAATGAAGAAACGATGGAAGGGAATGCTGTCATCATTTTTTTACACATCAATTTCCCCCAGTCCCATCCCACCCCCAACTTAAGCTAAACTACTTTTAACTCACGAATGTCAAGACCTGTGTTCACAAGGTAAAATACTCAAACTTTATTCTAGTTTGACATCTACTTTATTTTTTTGATATCTACTTGGTCTGTACAATGCTGTTTGTTTAGATATGCTCTTCAATACACTTGAGGTGTTCCAGAAACCATATTTAATCTGAGATTGCGCAGCACTGGAATTACACATAGGTGGACTCCATGCAACTACTCACATTATGGAGCAATACTGACAGAGATCAAAGCACATTGTGCAAAGGAATATTCAGGGGGAAATGAGCTGACAGCTGAAGGATTCTTCTCCAATGAGAACTGCCCTCTAAACATACTTTGCAATGGAATAGGCAGGACTTTGTTTCTATATAGCTTTACTAACATATGGTTCCTAACATTATTACTGCCACTACATGGTAGCATTCCACTTATATCTTTGGTTTCATCCATTTTCCTTACTTATGTAGATGTTGGGTAGAAGCTTAGATAACATACACTGAGGTCTTGTATAACATAGGCAGGACTGGTGGTTTTTTTTGGATTTAGGTACTCGACATTTACATGCTGGTTTTAGCTTTTGACCAGTTAAATTTTGTAAGTGTCCACTTAAAAGTAAGCCTTATTAAGTTCAATGTGAAATATTTCCAAATAGAACCGCCGTCCAACATTCCTAACCAGATTCCACAGCTGATTCCTACAACCAAAGCTTGTTCTTGACTTTAACATTTGAAAGCCAATCACCCTTTTCATAACCTACTTAAATTTGGAAACTGGAGAAGCCACAGAACAGCCACACTTTGCATTCACCACAATTTCTTAATGTCAAATCTAAACACCAACTACATAACTCCCAGACTAGTTGACTAGGCTTGAAGTTTCCATTGCTACTGAAAGGCCCTTGGAACCTACACACAGCAGATATCTTGAAGCACTCAGATAATAACTCCCTCGCCCTGCTTCTTAAGAATTTTAAGAAATGCTTTAAACACAGGTATAAGCAAAAAAGGCAGATTTAAGTAATGAAAACAAATATTTTAAGAACAGAAGTTAAACAATGAGGCACAAGATAATAGGACAAATTAGAAGATGTGTCTCTCCTCTCACAATTCCATCCTCAAAGCATGGTATCTGCTGAACTGCATGAAGTGTTTAAATGGTTTTTGTTTGAAATGTACAATACCAAACTTTCATGCCAGCCTTTTAGCTGGAAAACTAGTATATATGTATTATACATTATAAGACTCTTAACAAGGCCTAGTCACATAACAATAATTAAAAGGTAGTAATGTACATGCCAATGTGCTAAAGATCTGACTAGCAGAGCCCAACCAGTGCTTACAACAACAACCAATGCTAGTACAAATTCCAGTGTAGAATAGGCATGAATGCTACTCTAATACTTGTGGCAGGAGAACACAGTATTATCATTATGCCAGTTCAACAAGGCTACCCATTCCAGGTGGTCATTTGAACATCTGGATAGATCCCAGAGAATACAGCATGTACTTGTAAAGGAACAAGTGGACAACCACAGGTATATCTACAATACCAACCAATACTAGTTTTCTACCAGCCCTTGTGTTTGGTGAAAATTCCATTACAGCAACCTTCCCTTACTTGGATCCCTCTAGATGTTTCTGCCTACAGCTTCCATTATATCTGATCATTAGCTATGCTGACTTGGACCAAGACTGGTGGGAGCTTGTAGTCCAAAAAGATCTGAGATGTGAGGAGACTGTTCAGGACTGCCCCACAAAACTACACTTCCCAGGATTCACTGATGGGAGGGAAATGACTGTTAAACATGTAAAAATGTGTAATGTAGACATGTCCTAGGAGTCCGTAAAGAAGAAATGACTAAGAAAAGATATGCCAGTAGATTAAAATTATGGAAAAGCCAATCACAGTAAACAGTGGGAAAGAGATATGAACAAGTTGGAAGGACAGGTATGCTGAAAGGAACACAACAACTTGAGAAAGCAGATAAAGACAATGGGTTGTTACAGCATGACAACAGAAGAATTCTGACTATATAATAAAGTTAAATCAAGTAAGGATCATAGAAGAACAAATGAGAATACAAAGCTATAAAAGTTTCAGAACTTAACAAAGGGGGGAAAGTTACAACACTGCCTGAAACAAAGAAACAAGATTTTCAAAAGTATTCCATGAAACTAGATTAATGTGCCTACCTCTTAATGATGGTCCATTTTACTGCTTTCAAATGAGATGTACTTATACAATGGTCCAAAACTTCAGGCGATCTTCTATTTTTGTACAGGTACTGGGATAGCTATCTGGTGCTACCTAGCTCCTATTTATCCTTGCTCCACAAACTCACAAAGAACCAGCATTCACCTGCACCTCACCAAGGCAGATTCATTACACCTTCCAAAATGCCCTCTTTCTCCCCAGTTTGATCTGTTAAATATTGCCTTCTTGATTCCCTTTATTCACTCATAAAATTCTGCTTCTCAATCTGAATCTGGAGAAGGCGCTTCCCAGGCAGAACAGTGTTCTCCCCACCACCCTTGCTCGCCCAACTGCCTTACATAAGCAGATCCAAAGTGACAGGATTGCAGGCATTAACAAAATCAACAGCCCAAGTCCCAAGTGTTAACAACCAGACCCAAACAGATATTCCAGTGGTCTCGCACCCCAGGAATCCCGCAATCTACCTTCCTCTTACCACTTTCAGCTGATCACAAAGCCACATAGAAGAAAAGAATAATCTACCATAACTCACCTTCTCTCTTTTCTAACTTGAGAAAAAGAACAATCAAGACTCTTTGGCGAATAGTTGGGAAGGTCTGCAAGTCTTTGGGAAAAGTTAAAAAAGCCTAAAGCAACTGCTGAAAGACCAGATAGCCCAAGAGGGGAGATGGAGAGAGTTCATCCGAGTTCCCTCTTTTGTTCAAGTTCTCTGAGTAGACAAAGAACCAGCAAGCGGCAGCAGGTTTCTCCCTCTCACCCCTTTTCCCTCCCACCTCTTTCCCCCCAACCCTCGTCCTAGTGTATCCAACAGCAGCTCGGGTCTAACTTGAGCGTCCCCCTCGTTGAATTGAGATCGATTAGATCCTGCAACTTTTTTAAAAATGGGGGGGGGGGGGGTCTTTCCTTCACGCCTGATCGCAGCCTGCAGTTCAAAACTTCCCTCTAACTGAGCCTCCCAGAAAAACAATTTTAATGGAGCCGGGTGGGGGGCAAAGGAGGAGAATCTCTCCGGTCATTATTTCCGGTAGATGCACCTCTTTGTTTGGATCCCCCTGACCGTCACTGAGCACAATCCCGTGGGATCCGGAACCGGTCATGTTGGGCTTTTCTTAGGATTCCCAAGGACGAGCGGTCGGTTTGATGAAACTGGAAAAGAAGGATACTCACGCACGACCAGAGCGGGGTGTGGAATGGAGGGAGAGATCTGGACGGGGATGGGCAACAAGGATTTGGCTAGCACTGTTCCCTTTCGCTTTTGGAAACTTCATCCAGCCGAGGAGAACAAAAGCGTCATCGTGGCCGTGACCAGCCCTTCCCAGCTTTTGACATCTCTACCTGTTGCACAGGGAGGCAGAGTGAGGGGCGGGAACGAGCATCGATCCCACAATAACAAACCATCACGCCTTTCACCTGTCCTCCGGCTAATGGGAATCTGATCCATTTCCCAGCAAATAGACGGGGGGAGAGACTTGGGGGAGTGGAAAAGACAAACTAGGCGCCCTAGGAGACCCCCCACTCCATGCTTATCTACAAGCGGTATGAGTGAGCACATCAGTCCCCTTAGTCTCTCCAAAGCAACAAGTCTCAGCCCGAACCCGTTTCATAGGCTCCGTTTTTATCAATGGGAAGCCGGTGACGCGTACAAAAACACACCAGGAACAATTCCACTCCTCGGACAAAATTGTTTTGCCCTGGATCTAATCTTACATGCGCCGCACAGAGGAAAAAGAAAAGCAAGGAAAGGGAAAGCAAGAAATGCGCACCAACTTTTGCTGCCATGAAACACCCTTCTTTGGAGGAGAGAAATTAAGTTCGCAGCGCTGCAAAAGAGAAACGCAACTCACCTTAGGAGAAAGAAGGATAACCCCTTCCGCTTTCTCCTCCTCCTCTTCCAAACGGTTGGATGGGGGAGGGGAGAAAACAATGTAATTGCCGCTGGGCCGGATAGCTCAACTCATTGCCTGCCCCCCCTCCCCCCATTTGTCTCTCGGGTCTATATCGACTCCCTGTCCACCCCTCCACCCAAACAAAGGCGCAGCGTGGTGCTCTATTCCTCTGGCTTTTAATTTGTTTTTAACTTTTTCACATCGATCACACTTTTGCAACTTTACCTAAGTCAATGCGTGGTTGTATTGTTGTTTAAAGTTAGCGCGTGGATCACAAGAGAGAAATCAAGTCGTCCCCACGTCGCTGATAATGCATTGTGCGATTCCCCCACATACTCCCCCCATCCAATTACGCACACAAACTATTAACACCTACACACGCTTTGAAAACTGGCATGGGGTGGAGGAAGCCTAGAAGTTGAAGAGGAAAAGTCCACGGGAATATTTTGAGTCCTGCTCCAAATGCCTGCATGCGCCCTGTTTCAGATAACGCGACAAAGCCGTGATAAATCCGAAGGAGCGAAAACGCACCGCCAGGTCCCTTTGCCTACAACGTGCTCATTGAGAAGTCTCGCCTGGCTTCTGAGCAAGGATCCTGCCCTCCATCTAGTCCCCCGCCCGACGAAATACTACCTAACCCGAAGCTGCGCTGCATTTGTCCTTCAAGTCTGGGCTCTCACACAGTGGGGTGGGTGGCTTAATTCTGCTCTCTTACACTACCTCGTAAGGTTTCGCTCCATCTCCCTTTCCAATCCATTCTTACAAGGTCTGTCCATAGATACAGGCTTATATGGATATTTGGTGGTAGAATGGATTGTACCACCTCGGACTTCAGATGGCAAAGAATCACTTTTGAATGCTCACTCTTGCTGCTAGTAGGCAATGGCCCCTATGGCAAATTCCTCGAAGTAAACATCTAGCACATGAGGTAGAAAAGCTGAGAACCCAGCAGAAAGTTTGACACTTCCAAGAAAGTTTTTTGTTTCCTAAAGTAAGAAGCCATTCAAACTGAGAACTTCCATCCTCATCTTGAATGTGTATAGTCCATTCTGTTCTTCTTATGTGTCAAGCCCTCTCCTACTTATGGTGACCCCATGAAAGCCCTGCAAAATATCCTGTCCACAACAGCCCCACTCAGCTCCTCTAAATTCAAGGCTATGGTTTCCTTTGAGGAGTCAATCCATCTCATACGTGGTCTTTCTTTTCTTCTTCAACTTTCCCAAGGATGATTGTCTTCTGCAGGGAGCCTTGCGTTCTTATGACATGCCCAAAGTATGACAGCCTCAGTTGTATTGTTTTTGCTTCTAGAGAAAGCTCTGGTTGATTTAATCTGTCCATTCTAGATCTTCTCAACTCCAAACTGTAGACACCTCACTCCAGTGAGGTAAATTACCATCCTCAGTCCACAATTGTTGTTAGTCGCGAAGTCGTGTCCGACCCATCGTGACCCCACGGACAACATTCCTCCAGGCCTTCCTGTCCTCCACCATCCCCCGGAGTTCACTCAAGCTCATGCCAACTGCTTCAGTGACTCCATCCAGCCACCTCATTCTCTCCCATTCCCTTCTGCTTTTGCCATCTGTTGCTCCCAACATTAGCCTCTTCTCCAGGGAGTCCTTCCTTTCTCATTAGGTGGTCAAAGTATTTGAGTTTCATCTTCAGGATCTGGCCTTCTAAAGAGCAGTCAGGGTTGATCTCCTCTAGGACTGACCGGTTTGATCGCCTTGCAGTCCAAGGAACTCGCAGGAGTCTCCTCCAGCACCACAATTCAAAGGCCTCAATTCTTCGGCGCTCAGCCTTCCTTATGGTCCAACTTTCACAGTCATACATTGCAACTGGGAAAACCATAGCCTTGACCATACGCATTTTTGTTGGCAGGGTGATGTCTCTGCTTTTTAGTATGCTGTCTAGATTTGCCATAGCTTTCCTCCCCAGGAGCAAGTGTCTTTTAATTTCTTGGCTGCAGTCCCCATCTGCGGTGATCTTGGAGCCCAGGAAAATAAAATCTGTCACTACCTCCATTTCTTCCCCATCTATTTGCCAGGAAGTAAGAGAACTGGATGCCATGATCTTAGTTTTCTTAATGTTGAGTTTCAAGCCAACTTTTGCACTCTCCTCCTTCACCCGCATCAAGAGGCTATTTAGTTCCTCTTCACTTTCTGCCATGAGAGTGGCATCATCTGCATATCTGAGGTTGTTGATATTTCTCCCAGCAATCTTAATTCCAACTGGTGATTCATCTAGCCCTGCCTTTTTCATCATGTGCTCTGCATATAAGTTAAATAGGCAGGGCGACTGTATACAGCCTTACTGAACTCCTTTCTCAATTTTGAACCAATCAGTGGTTCCGTATCCAGTTCTCACTGTTGTTTCTTGACCCGCATATAGGTTTCTCAAGAGACAAATAAGATGGTCAGGTACTCCCATTTCTTTAAGAACTTGCCACAATTTGTTGTGATCCACACAATCAAAGGCTTTAGCATAGTCAATGAAGCAGAAGTAGATGTTTTTCTGGAACTCCCTAGCTTTCTCCATGATCCAGCGTATGTTGGCAATTGGATCTCTAGTTCCTCTCCCTCTTCAAAATCCTGCCTGTACTTCTGGTAGTTCTCGGTCCACATACTGCTGGAGCCTAGCTTGTAGGATTTTGAGCATCACTTTGCTAGCATGTTAAATGAGTGCAAAGGTGTGGTAGTTTGAACATTCTTTGGCATTGCCCTTCTTTGGGATCGGAATGTAAACTGACCTTTTCCAATCCTGTGGCCACTGTTGAGTGAGTGTAGCACTTTTACTGCATCGTCTTTTAAGATTTTGAATAGCTCAGCTGGAATACTGTCACCTCCACTAGCTTTGTTGTTGCTCAGACTTCCTAAGGCCCATTTGACTTCACATTCCAGGATGTCTGGCTTGAGGTCAGTGACCACCCCATCATGGTTATCAGGGATGTTAAGCTCTTTCTTGTATAGTTCTTCTGTGTAATCTTGCCATCTTTTCTTAATCTCTTCTGCCTCTGTTAGGTTCCTGCCATTTTGGTCCTTTATCATGCCCATCTTTGCATGAAACGTTCCCTTCATATCTCCAATTTTCTGAAAGAGATCTCTGGTCCTCCCTATTCTATTGTTTTCTTCTATTTCTTTGCACTGTTCATTTAAGAAGGCATTCTTCTCTCTTCTAGCTATTCTCTGGAATTCTGCAGAGAATTCTGTATCTTTCTCTTTCTCCCTTGCCTTTTGCTTCCCTTCTTTCCTCAGCTATTTGTAAAGCTTCCTCAGACAGCCATTTTGCTTTCTTGCATTTCTTTTTCTTTGGGATGGTTTTAGTTGCTACCTCTTGTACAATGTTGCGAACCTCCGTCCATAGTTCTTCAGGCACTCTGTCTATCAGATCTAATTCCTTAAATCTGTTTGTCACCTCTACTGTATACTCATCAGGGATATGATTTAGGTCATACCTGAGTGGCCTAGTGCATTTCCCTATTCTTCAATTTAAGCCTAAATTTTGCAACGAGAAGCTCATGATTTGAGCCACAGTCAGCTCCTGGTCTAATTTTTACTGACTGTATAGAAATTCTCCATCTTTGGCTGCAGAGCACATAGTCAATCTGATTTCTGTGTTGACCATCTGGTGATGTCCATGTGTAGAGTCGTCTCTTGGGTTGTTGGAAAAGAGTGTTTGCTATGACCATCATATTCTCTTGACAAAATTCTACCAGCCTGTGCCCTGCTTCATTTTGTACTCCAAGGCCAAACTTGCCTGTTATTCCAGTTATCTTTTGGCTTCCTACTTTAGCATT